TTTAACGTCAATTAAAAAAAAATATTCCATTATATATATATAGATTGAGTATATACAATTCTGTATATATAATAAATAGGTTCTGGAGTAAATCAAATTTTTCGGATATTTACGATTTTACAGAATTCATTTGAGAAAAATTTCTTATAATAAACAAAAAATTATAATATAATATATTAGAATTAAAATGAAACCCATATTTAAGAAGTCGAAATAAATTGTCTATATAAAATATTTGATTCACTAAAATATAAAGGATGCCAAGTACATCGAAGGAAACTATGTGAAGTAAGAGAAAATAATAAACCATATAAATTTAAAAACATAAAGACAATGATAATAAAATGTTAACCTCTATTGTTTCGTGTTATATTTTAAGAAATTTAATAATAAAATAGATCATATATTCAATAAAATAATTTTAATGTAAATAAAGTAAATTATCCTTTTAAAAAATGTTATGTAGCAAGTACTTGTGTATAATGGTATAAGTTAAATTACACCGCTTTTTATTATAATAAAAAAATTAAAAAATTGACGAATAATTTCCTTAAGCGTAACATATTTTATATGCACATATAAAATTAAATTATAAACTATTTAGTCCTTTTTATTTACATAATTAAATATAAATTGTTATTAAAATAATCTCCTAGAATCAAAAATTTGCATTTGTAATATATTGTACATAATCATATTATTGAAATAGTACCAAAATAACATTTATTTAGAAATCTTAAGCTCAATGGAAGTGTGTATTAGGATAGTAAATAATAAAACAGCTAAATGAATTTATTATATATTAAATTTAAAATCTTAGGAATAACGTATTATTATTTTATTTAATGTTAAAAAATTTATACACGTATGAAATTGTAATAATATACTATTGAACAATTACAACTCATTTGTTAATTTGTATCAAGTTATTAGTAAGTTCTCAAAACATGATATAGGGTGAAATGTCTTAAAATGCAACCATATATATACATATAATAAAAACATTATGTAAAAATATTGTTCAAAGAAAGAGAATTAAAATAATTTGACATATGCATTAATAATGAACAAAAAACTTGAGTACAAAAATCTATACTTGAAACAGGAAAAACTAGTACATAAAAATTAAAAGCATAAACAAAAAAGCATGAAGAATCCAGGAATCTCCAAAAATCCTAAAATTTAGAGGGATATGGATAAAATAAATTTATGAATCCCTCATGAATTAACAAATTAAAAAATTGAATTCCAAGCCATAGACATGGGAGCTGAGACGCTAAATCCTAATGCATAACATAAAAAATAAACCTAAACTAAAAGATAAACCTACAGCCATGATCATAGATTGAATGGTGTACTAACGGTGAAATATATGCTATGGTATCCTAATTTTCCTTTTGATTAGTAGAATATAGGATACAAAATATGAGACTTATAAAAACATATTATAAACATATTTTTCTTAAATAAAAACAAGCGATTTGATTATTGAAACCCTGAATATATATAAATATAGTAACTAATTGTTAAATATTGTTTATCCTCAATTCCTGAAAAAATTATGGTATGAATATAAAAGAATACATCAATGATATTTTTATTTTTTGAAAAATAATATAAAGTAGCCTATTATGTATAAAAAGTGCACAGAAATTTAGGAGAAATGTTTATTTAATGGAGTTATAGTTCTTTATGCACATTCATTATAATTTATTCTTTTTCTTTCAGTATTATAGTTGGTCAGATTATATCTTTTTTAGAGATATATTTGAGTTGAATGAAGAATCTGGAAATTATGATAATGAAATTAACATTTTTCTTAGTTCAAGGTCTATTGACAATAATATTCGTAACAAATTTATTGAATATTGTAATCAAATAAAAGAATATTTTGTGCAATTAGAGAATGATAATTCTTGCAATAGTAATGATTGTTGTAAATATATTAACTACTGGATAAATAAAAAGGTTAGGGAAATGAATGAACTAGATTATAAAAATCCTCTGAATATATTTTCATATTTAAAAGATTATATTCATTATAACAATCATGATAATAAATATAACATGTGTGTAAATGATGTCATATATTTAAGGGATGAGTATTTTATTAAAATGGACAAATTATATGGTGTGTATGATTATTATGATGAACTTTTTAACCATGTATTTTTGAAAATTAATGAAAAAATGTTATGTAACACGTTTATAAAATTTGTAGATGAATACAATAATTTTTTTGAGACATATATAAAAAGCAACTATGATTTTTTACGTCATGAGTTATATAGCCTCAGATGCTTAATTAAAAAATATTTATTAACACACATATCTGGTTGCTCTGAAACTTCATATGAATTATTGAAGAATTTTCCAACGAACACAGATGAAACCATGTGCATGGGAATAACAGAAAGTGAATACTTGCCAGAATACTTAAGACATAAGGATAGTGAACGTATGAGCACATATTATAATGATTCTAATAACATAGTACCCACGATCATAATAGTACTAATTAACATAATTTTGGGCATAATTATTTTTTTATTTCATAAAGTTAACTATAATATTATTTAATATGTTAAAAATGTATTATCATTATATATATTATTTTACAGAAAATTAATTTAATTATATTACACATATGTATTCTATGAATTTACTTTTTTTTATTTTTAAATAGTTTGGGTTAATCAATAAATTTTTACATGTCACTCTCAAAAGAAATAAAAAAATATGGAGAAAAATGAATGATGAATTCGACTCCTACATAATGCATAAATATGAAAATGAACCTATATATGTGAAAGATAATATGTACAAAATATCATATATTTCGGAAAATAGCCTTGACATAGATAGATAAAGAGATATTAATATATATATAAAAGTATAATTATATTTATAATAAATATTTATTAATATATAGAACTAAGGTATATTATCCGGGCTTTAAATTTTAGTATTAATTATTATTTACAGAATAGCATATTTAGATTTAGCGTTTGAAACTGGAATGTATATTGCTTCACTTTTTAGAATCATTTAAATAGTTATATTTACAACGATTTTTAACATATCTAAAAATGAATTATATATATTTATATTTTTATTTGATTATAGGTGATATGTTATTATTTGTTTTAAAATACATTGATATATTTTTTCTAAATATAATGTATTACGTTATGTGTTAAATTTAACTACAATTACAGCAAATAATGTATGTTTTATCCTTTTTTACAGAGAAATATTATTATAGATGATATTATAGAATTTTCGTTATTTTGAATTTTTTTTGTGTTTTTTTATTAAATCATACCTTTCTTTCATCTTTCCGCATTGTATATTTAATAAATTTCATGGGAATTTATTATTCTTGTATAAAAGTTTTATTATTTTGATTTTGCTTAACTATATCGAGAATACATTATACTTTAAATCTATATGTTTGTTTCTGATTAAAAATATCAGCAGTATTATTTTAAAATTTATTAATATGAACAGTAGTCAAGTCCATTGTAAAATATGTATTTATAATACCAAATTAGCTATTAATAATATAATAATTGATAAAAATAATATTCAGCATATTCAAGTATTTGATACATGTAGAATGTTAATTTCAGAACTTATTATAATTTATATGTTTATATATGTATCTTTTTAATACTCTTAATCCCCAAAGGAAGAAATATGTATGTACCAAATTATTTTATATTTATATAAATTATTATCATTAATAAGAACACACACAAAAAAAAAGGAATTAAAAAAGTATATAAAATAAAACAAAAAAGAGTAAACAAATAATCTATATATCATATTTAATAATCTGGATAAACTAACGTAGAATTTGTGCAAATGAATTTAATATATTAGTAGAGCTAATATGAGATTACTTAATTATATGAATTGTAATAAAATGTTTTTGTTAAAAAATTTATTAATATACGTAATAAAAAAGTACAAATATTTTTTACATTAATGTTATATAATAAAAAATGTTATGTTATGTATAGAAAAAATTTATATTAATTGTGATTAAGTATTACGGCCTTTTGTAATTTTTACAATTATTGTTTTATTACACTGTACAATATATAATTAATAGGATTAAAATATATTATTCTATAGCTAATATTTATTTTTTCTTCTTGCAATACATAATATGAAATGACCAGACAAGCACACTAATTATAATTAGCGTTTATATTAATTATTTGTAACTATATTAAATATGATTTCTCTATTAGAATAATTATTTGCATAGTTAACTTATTAAGTTAACAAATAATTCTTTTTTTCTATTTTAAGTAAATTACGGCATACTAAAATTTTTGCGAATATATATATTAGTATGAATAATGATAATGCAGATGTGGCTAATGCGCCAAAAAGTAAATATGCTTCCCCTTTAAGTATAACATACTTTAAAAGAAAAAAAATAGATCCTGAAGAAAATATAATTAGGGGTAAAGCAAAGATTATTATCATGTGTCTATATTGCGATATCCCATTTGTCCTTTGATTAATATTCCTACCTTTAATCAAGTTATGTATCTTACACATTCTATAAAATATTTTTTTTTCAATATAGTAGTCTATTAACGCAAAAATATTATATATTTTAGGCTTCTTTCTCCTATATATTTTCTGGGATTTCATTTTTCTTACTAAATTTTGTTTTAATTCTTTGTATGGAGATTCTTCATCGCTTTTATATTTCCATAATAATCGGCTTCTTCTTTGAATTAATGATTTATCCATATTTTTTATTTTATCAATGGATTTAATTTGAGACGTCTGAAAAGAGATAATAATAATATTTTTTAACTATTAAAGTAAAATTTTCTTATTATGATACTACACTTAGAAAAAAAAATTCATCCGTATAAAAAATAAATCATTTGTATCACATTGTTTTACTTCATTATAGTTATAAGTGTATATCCAAAGAAGAAGAAAAATAGTATGAATTCTAGCAAAAAAGACAAAATTAAAAAATGTTCTCATGATGTCCTTTTTCATTTATCCCGCATAAAAAGTAATGGACATATTAGTAGTATTACTTCATATATAATATGACAATATATTATTATAGTTAGTAATATAATATGAATATTAAACGTTCGTATATCTATTTAAAATGATTATTCAAATATACATAACTTTTATTGAAGTATAATCATAAAAGAGAATTATATAAAATAGATTAGCAAATTTTTAATCAAAAAATTTACATACAAAAGAACTCAAGCTATATTTAGTTAAATTTTCTATGCATAAATTTTGAACAAAAAAAGGTTATATATTAATATATTATTAATTAAATAATCAACATGGTATATGTTTAATCATTAACTAAATGAGTTAAGTGGTGACTGAACCATATAAATTATCTTTAAGAAAAAAAGACATTCTATTTAATATAGGTACAAAATAATAAGCATATGGATAAAAATAAGTATAAATGTTTATAATTTTCTTTTGCAATGGTTTATAATTTAATTTATATTATACTTAAAGAATAATATCAATTTTTACGTATTATTATTAGTTATATATATAAAGTAATATTCATAGGAAATATTTTTTGTTCTATATATAATACAAAATCCATTGATGGTACAAGTAATTAATACGTAATATTAAGATTCTACAATTAATATAATATATATTTTAATTTTACTATTATTATTACTACGAAAATAAGACATATTATTATTTATTTTTTTGAAACATATAGTTGTTTATATTATTTGTATTAAATAAGGAATGTAACTTGATATATGGTTTATTTAATTTTCTATTTTTTGAAAAAAATGTAGTTTATTATTTTTTGTTTTATATATCTGTTAATATATTATATACATTATATGTGATTTTAAAGCAATAATCCATATTAATTATAGCATACAGTATATTTATTTTAATTTATTACATAAACCAGAACTTAATTTATTTTTATTTTTTATTTAATAGTTAGCATATATTAATATATTTAAATAACATATGTTTTCCTAATATCTTTAGGCTTATTATATTAAATAGATTGGATATACTTTTTTTTTTAATCATATAAACTTTTTCCTTTTTTTTTATGAAATATATTATAATAGATATACATTACATTTTATATATTTTAATTATATTCCTTATTCTAGATATAATAATATAATTATAATTATATATATATATTTTTAATTGTAATATTATGATGATAGAACACATAAAATTTATATTTTTGCATACATTTGTGGTTATATTTAAATATATTTAAAAACTTGTTATACTTTATATGGATATTTAATATAGCACAAATATGGTATGCACTCTTAATGAGTGAAGTATAATTTTTAAAAATAGTGTAATATAAGAACATATATATGTTTGTTGACACATATATTTATATAAATATATTTCTTTATATTTAAATTTATTTGTCTACGTAAAAAATTAATATATTTAATATTAAAAAAATATATTATTTTTAGTTATATAATGCATTTTTTTTGATATATTATAATCATTTCAAAATTATATTATTATTGTATTTATATAATAACATAAATTTTACATAATATTATTCATATTAAAATTGATAAGCTTATGCTTATCACTATCAATGCATATTTTTTTAACTAAATATATATTTAAATATTTTTTTTACAAAAGAAGAAGTGATTTTCTTAGTTTCACACATAGAACGAGAAATACTAATATATTTATGATTGGGACACATTGTGATATATGTTATTACGTTTAATTATTCTGTTATAATATATTTTTATTTAAAGGAAGTTTTTAAATTATATTTCGATAATGCTATTCATTTCTGTACATCTCTCTTTCTTGTATATATAATATACATATTTTTCTCCTTTTATTTTTTATATTAGAAGTTACTCTTATTTTTTTATATACCCAAAAGGCATTTGTATACATGGGGTATTAATTACTGAAAATTAGAGAATATCATTTTATATATATGCATTTAAGACTTGTGCACTAACTATTGAATTATATAAATAATTCTTATATATTTATTTGTTTAACATTTTATTATTACAGGAATATATATAAAAGATTGTATAAATAAATTTACTTTAAGAAGCGTAATGGTAATGATAAAATACAGGAAATACTAGTATTATATATAAAAATAAATATAAATGGATGGAAGCGGAATAACAGGTAAAAAAATTGTGATGTTAATATTAATAATATATTAAATACAATAATATATAATTAAAAAAATATAACATCTAATCTTATGTTTTTATCTGTTATAAAATAAAACATATTTATATAATTATAATTAATCTAATAATTAAAAACAATATTATGAAAGGTGCTTTTATAATATAATAATAAAATTGAAGAAAAAATGTACAAAAACATATCACTCCATTGCATGATGTACATGTGTTATTTTTATATATTTGTATATTTAATTATGTTAATGTGTAAATGTATTCTCATAAGAAACAAATTTATATATATGTTGAATACGCGTAATGAAATATCATATTAAATTATATTTATATCTTATTATAATATTAAATATTGTTTATTCTGAATATGATTTTTAGAAACAAATATTATCCTAAATACATAAATAGATACATGCATTAAAAATAAATATATTCATAATTATAATAACAATTTAATATTTAGTAATTTTCCCAAATGTACTCTACATAGTTTTTTTTTTTTAAATACAATTAACTTGATATTATAATAATAAAAATATAATATAATCAAGTAATAATAATAAGACTAATTAAAAACTAACTGTACATATTTTATAAAAGCTATGTATGTAATCGAAATGATAACATGAACTCTTGCTTATTAGAAAAT